AATGGGTAAGATCAAATGCCAAGAGAGCACTGGGGTTTTCCTGCTCCAAAACAATTGTGCCCTCCTGGGTGAGGGTCCAGAAGTCAAGGGCAAATGCAACAAGACCAATCCCACTTGGCTCAGGGTCACTTAGAGCTTCCTCCTCTTTTGGCTTTATTATTTAAAAGTGAATTATTTTCTAATTCTGGACATAGTTAGGGGAATATGTGTAAACATATGACAAATAAATAATAAAATATTGTTATGCAAATGAAAATACATATAAAAATATAATAATAAAATACAAATCTGGAACCTGTACATTACCCACAGAGACACACTTGGTTTTTGAGGTGAGATCACAAGGAAACAGGTCTGGAACAATAAATGTGTTGCTGGAGGCACTGACCTGTTGGTAGGGATGTGCTACTAGTGAAAGGCCTGGACCTGCTCTTTGTTATGGACTCAGCCCCACACTCAGCAGTTAATTTAGGTGTTCTGGTATTTGCTACTGGGAATTGTCACCCTGCTGTGGTGCACTTTTCAGCTGTATTTTGTCTCTGAAACAAAGAAAGCTGAGTTTACTAATTTTTTCACCTGTTTGAATACTTTGCACTATTCATATGCTTTTTAAGTTAGGAAATCCATGAGCCCACAACAAATATATCCATGTAGCAAAGGAAGTGTCCTTTCTGCCAAGAAGTGGAAGGATGGTCTAACTGGAATTTCCTCCCAGTGGAGAGGAGTATTCTGCAAAAATCAGTTCACAGAGATATTTTTAACTCACCCTAAGTCCCCTGATTTCCCTTGGATTTATTAAGATATTTCAACGTGCCCAGCATTTCCAAGCAGATGCTTTAAGGTGTTGAGGGGTGTTTTAATATTCTGGGGAGCACTCAGACACAACCACATGCCAGAACCAGAGCAACAAGTCTCAGCTGCTGCCTCAAAATACCCAACTAAAAGAAGTTTCTCATTCTTTGTCAGTGTTTTATCATGCTCTGATGACTTGTTGTTATGTGACAGGAGAACCAGTGGCTAAGATGTTTGATATCACAGCACACAATGTACAATCTGCCACATAGTCTGGAGTGGTCACACCAGGGAATTACTGGGTGGACAGTCCAGAATCTGTTGTATTCAAATGCCATTGGCTGTCACAGCTGGGAGGCAACCTGCAGACTTGTCTGGAGAAGAGATGTCACCTTTGTCATTGTTCATGGTGCAGGGTGGCTCGGAGAGGCTCCAGTTTCCAGGCAGAGGAGTTTTTTTCCCTTGTAATCCCTGTTGCTTTTTCTCTGCAGAGCTTCGTGCTGCAATGCAGAAATTCCCACCAGTTGCTACTGAAGAAGAGAGTGAAATAATCACACCATCTGAGCCCTTCCCAACCTACCAGACCTATGCCTTCCAAACAGAGATCAAAAGGTAATGGATCCATCTGGCCACTCAAAATGTGGCTGGAGTTTAGAGAAGTCACTTTTAGAAATGTGCTGCTCACCTAGTGACACAGGGGTTTGTTGAAAACACTTCCACAGCAATATATATAAACCTCAAGTCATTGGCTGAGCAGTCTTCATCTTGGTTTGGGAGGATTCAGGTGTGAATTTCCTGGGACAGCAAAAGGACAGCCCCTTAGTGGATTGTGAAGTGAGTCCAGGGCCAACAAAGTCTCCTCCTCTCCTTGCTGCATCAACCTTTGCAGCTACCAGTTCCTGACATGGGGTTGGGTTTCAACTTGCTGTGCCTAGAAGACAGGCACAAATTTCTGTTGCCAACAAGGGGTAGTTCCCTGGCTCCAGCCATCTTCTCTCCCTCCAAGGGAGTTAAGCTCTCACTCGTGCAATTTAAAGTGAGGTACAACACAGAGGCACAGGAGGATGTGCAAACTGTGACAACAGATGCAGCAACTTCACGTCAGGCGTGGATGAAAAACACAGCATGCCACCTTGGTGGTTTTAAAGGACAGAACTCTGCCAGGAGCAGCAGAGAAGCTTAACTTGCCTTTATGTTGCCTTGTATCAGGGGACGTTTCAGCATCGTCCGACAGTGCCGGGAAAAAGTGAGCGGCAAGACTTTAGCTGCCAAAATTATCCCTTACTGGCCAGAGGACAAGCAGACTGTGCTTGTGGAGTATCAAGTCCTGAGGAAGCTTCATCACACCAACATAGCCCAGCTGAAGGGAGCCTACGTCAGCCCACGGCACTTAGTGCTGATCCAGGAGATGTGCGTGGGACCAGAGCTGCTCCACTCCTTGGCGTCACGGTAAGAACAAGAGGAGGGAAGGGGCTTCCAGGTGGAGCTGGTGCAGGGAGCAAAGCACCTAGTGTCTTCCCCTGGCAAACTGGATCTTCTATCTCCAGTCCCTCCAGTGTGTTCTCATTGCATGTGTGGTTTGTGGCGCATTAGTTCTGCAACTTCTTGTGACATAAATAAGTTACTTAAGTGCTCTGCGTGGCTGGGGTAGGGGACAATTCAGGGACACTCAGCTGAGGTGTTGAAAGCAGTTTATGGTAGTTGGCCAGAGGAGGCCAGGAAAGTCATGAAAGGGCTGAAGCAGCTCTGCTCTGGAGAAGAGAAGGCTCCAGGGAGACCTTAGAGCACCTTCCAGTGCCTGAAGGGGCTCCAGAAAAGCTGGGGAGGGACTTCTTAGAAAGGCAGGGATTGACAGGATGAGGAGTAATGGTTTTAAGCTGAAAGAGGGGAGATCTAAATAAGTTATTAGGAATAAATTCTTTCCTGTGAGAGTGGTGAGATACTGGAACAGGTTGCCCAGGGAAGCTGTGGCTGCCCCATCCCTGGAAGTGTTCAAGGGCAGGTTGGATGGGGCTTGGAGCAACCTGGTCTAGTGGAAGGTGTCCCTGCCCATGGCAGGGGGGTTGGAACCTGATGATCTTTAAGGTCCCTTCCAACCCAAACCAGTCTGTGATTGTATGATATGAAACACCCACTCCCATGACAAGGAGATTATTGTGGTTCATGAAGCCACATTTCTCTTCCATGTTGTTTCTCACAGTGGCTGCAAATGGATCTGCTGAAATCCACTGATTAAAGGAGAGGGAATGGTGGGAATCAAATCTGCATTTTGAGTTCTGCACAACCACTGCTTTCTCTGACATGCAGCTCTATAACCTGAACCTCTTGTGTCTGTAAAGATGACTCACAGTCGGGACCAGCATCTTCATATACAATAGATTTCCTAAATGAGTAGAGTTGTTTGTTCTTGATTCACAAGGGCCTCATAAGATTAAACACCCAGAGGAAGACAATAGGGGGTATAGAATGATGCCCTTGGACACACAGATAGGACACCTCTGGTTTCTATCCTCTTTCTTCTGCCAGGAATTCATACTCAGAAGTGGAGGTCCGGGATTATCTGTGGCAGATCCTCAGTGCTGTTGAGTATCTCCATGCTCACAGCATCCTGCACTTGGATGTCAGATCTGAAAACATGATCATCACTGAGCCCAACCTGCTGAAACTCCTGGATTTTGGTAACGCACAGTTCTACACACAAGAGACAGTTATTACCATGGACAAATGCATGGACTATGTTGAAACCATGGGTGAGTACAGAGTTCAGTCACAGCAGCCTTGTGTGCAATCTGTGGTAAGCAGAAAGACAGACAGGGCCATTAGTCAAGGCAGCAGTTGTCCCCAACTAGTCTCCCAGGCTGCTCTCCAGTAATGGTGTGAGTTTGTGGGAGCAGCCAATGGTGACAGCTGTTCCACTGGGAGATCACAGAGAGCAAAGCCAGAGGTCACAGCCAACTGGCATCCACATGTCCAGAGCTCAGGGATTCAGTATTACTGCAATTTGGTCTGGTGTTCTCAAGGTTTCATTGCAGTCACCACCCACAAGGGTGTCTTACCTCAACCAGCTCCCTGTGCTAGGAGCTTTTTCTTCTTCACTCTTGGGAAGGTAGCAAAGAAGAAATGTACCCACTGCTTTTGTGCTGGTTTCTGCATTGGAGGGGAGCTTGGCTCACACCACTTTGCTTTTCCAGCTCCAGAGCTGCTGACAGAGCAAGGAGCCCTCCCACAGACTGATATCTGGTCCATTGGAGTCACAGCCTTCATCATGTAAGTCAGTCTGTCCTTCCCTACCCTAGAGCAGCTTTAAAAGTGCAGTTTCAGACTCATCAATCAGGGGAGAGGCACAGACTCAGAGTTAACCCCAGTGGTGCCCCCTCTCCTTGGCAATGCTGCAGAAGTCTGTGTGATGGAGAGTGTGGAGGCAGCAGCACCATGTCCTAGCCCCAGCAAGGTCTCCATGTAGAGCAAGGAGGCAGTTTTACAACACATCAGCAGCTGCTGGTGTTTCTCACTCAGCCTCAACTTCACCAAGAAAATCCAGATTGCACCAAGTAGAAAAGCAGCCAAAGTCAGGAAACCCCCTGAAGAGCAGTGGCCTCTGAGGTTTTGTTTTCCCATAAGACGTTTGTGTGCGTGATCCTTCTGGCACTGCTGGGTGGGAACTCCTGGGAGAAGGAGCACCCCAGGCACTGCCCTTCCTGCTGATCAGTTCTCTCCTCCTGGGGCAGGTTGAGTGCCAACTACCCCGTCAGCTCCGACGTACCCTGCGAGTTTCTGAGAACCACCAGGAGAGGGAAGGTGAAGCTCACGAGGTGCTATGCAGGCCTCTCTGGGGGAGCAGTGTCCTTTCTCCAGAGCACACTGTGTGCAAACCCTTGGTAAGATGGTTGTCTGCTCTGCCAACAGCAGAGTTGGTGCAGATCCTGGGTCTTGTCCCTTCTTCCTCTTCATTGACGAAGAGCTTCCTCACCCAACCCCAGATCCCTGACTGACCTTCTCACCTTTGCCTGTTCCAGGGGAAGGCCATCAGCCTCTGAGTGCCTTCAGAGCCCGTGGCTCCAGGAGACAGGTTTGGACAACAGGCAGCAAGCACTGGTTACCTTCCCTTCCACCAAACTGAGGAATTTCCTCATGGAACGGGAGAAGAAAAGGGGCCTGCTGTGCTCCAAGTATGGCCTCATGATTGCACAGTGACCTGGATGTAATCACAGATGGGAATTGTCTCCCTCTCCCCTTCTGCACTTTGTGTTTGGTACCAAAAAGTCCTGCCCAAGTTGCTGTGCATCAGCTGAGCTGTGGCAACTGCTCTTCAGGAGTGAAATTAGCATCACTGAGCAAATTAACCCCCCTGATGTGCATTGCCACGAGGTAAGAACAGAAATACAGACCTAAGGGGGCTCAGCTGACCAACAGTAACTTGACAGTACAAGTAGCACTTGGCTGCATGCTCCCTGGAACAACCAGGAATGGTTTCCAAATGGGACTAGCTACCAGCCCAAGCAGCTTTGCAAATCCTTCCCTGAGGCCAGAGATGCAAATGCTGGGCACTGACCTCTGCCCCTGGCCCCAGGAGGTGACAACCAGACATGCTTCCAGGTCTTACTGTACTGTTCATCCCACAGTGACCACCACAGCAAGGTCTGAGTGGCTGGTGCGTTTCCCACCTGCCTCTAATCCAAAAGAGTTCAATGACCAGCCATGATGGGGAAACAGGGAGAAGTGAAGCACTTTTTTTGGATTGATGTTAGACAGGAATGTATCTTCAGGCTTTGGATGTAAAGCTCCAACTGGAAAAAGCCCTGAGCAACCAGGCCTGAGCTGACAGCTGACCTTGCTTTGAGCAGAAGGTTGGTTTAGAGACCTCCTGGGCTGCCCCCAGCCTGATGTGTCCCATGATCCCATGTCTTTGCCAAGGGACAGACACAAGGCTGGAGTGGTGGGACTCTGCCAGCATCCACTGGCAGCCAGGCTTAGCATGTTGCTTACACGTTCTCTGCCATCCTCATAGGACTGACCTGAGGGGCTAGAGAAGGACTTTTCTAGCTGTGGAGCAACAAGAGGCTGCAAAGGAAGGAGGTGTGTGTTACCTGAGTGACAGTGGTCACTAGGGATTTTTTCATACCTTCTGAGGAAACTCTTTCCTGCCCAAGTCACAAAACCTAAGCAGAAAGTCTTGTAGCTCCACCATGTAGCACAAGGTGTGTTGGGAGGGCAACAGCAAAGGGGTTTTCCAGTAACTGATAAACTGCACATCCCTGGGGCCCAAGTGGACCCTTCTTAGGCTGCTCCACTGAGACAGCGCAGCTTCTGCTCTCTCAGAGCCTCTGCTCAGTGAGCTGTGTGTCTCCATGGAGGGTCACCAGCTCTCCATGGACACCCACATTGTCACATCTGCAGAGCTGACAAGCTCCTCAAAGGTTTCAAGGTTTGAAAACACTGAAAAAACATGGGGTTTGGGGCATGTGTTTGAGGTCTCCCCATTAGACCCAGATGACAGACTTACCCATCACATAGGATTTTATGGAAACCCTTCACCTGACTGTGTCTGCATCAATTATCTTAATAATGTGGTAAAGAACAAGCATACAGAAGCAGTTCTTGAAGAAACCAAGCTGTGACTTGGTGTTTGAGCATCTCTGGGACAGATGTTCCCTGTGGCCAGGATGCTGGCACATGGAGCATGTAGTTGTATGGCTTTCCATGAGCAGGGCTAAAATCAGCTCGTGCAGAGAGCCTTTCCTGAGCACAGCCAAGCTCTCAGGTGGTGGTGGCAGTGGTTCATTGCAGCCTTGCTTTGTTCCTCAGCAGGTATGTTCCCCAATTCTGCCTGGCTCCTCTGGGTTTGTATCAGTGCATCCTGCCTGCCACAGGGTATTCCTGCCTAGGCTGTGACTTGTGGGAATAGGTAGTCACTGGAAAGTCAAGGCAGCAAACACAAAAGTGCCCATGACCTTGTTGTACCACCAAGAGACTTTGCCATTTGGAAGCTGAGCTGCTCCTTGCCAGGGAGTGCACAGGCACATCTCCCAGGAGACATGGATGATGCTCTCAGGCACATGGTGTGATTCTTGGGGTGCCCTACACAGGGACAGGAGTTGGACTCAATGATCCTGATGGGTCCCTTCCAACTCACCATATTTTATGATTCTGTAATGGCAGCAGTGGCACCAGCAAGTGCTGAGAGTATGAATTCTTCCAAAAAATCCAGAGCTTTCATGTTTCTGTTTCTCCTTCAAAGTCTGCTTTCCTTTGCACGGGATGTCCCTGCTTTGCACTTACAACCTCAGTGTTCCTTTGAGTTTCTCTGAAGTGAATGATGTATCTGATGGTGCTGCTGAGTTTCTCCAAGGTTCCCTACAAGCAGCAGTAAGCACAGGATTTATCAGAGCTGTATCTGGCTGTGTTGAGAAGAACAAGGTCAAGAAAGCAGTGCCCAGCACATTACAGCTTAGTCCTAGATGTGAAGCTGTTCAACCATGGGGCGTATTTTCCAACACTTTTAACCTGTATTTTTCCAAGCCTGAAACATTCAATGTCATGACTCCTTCCTTTGTGCACGACACGAGAGCAGGAATTCTGAGACTGGAGGTGCTTTCACTGAGCTGTGGAGACCAGGCACTGACTCAGTTGTCTTTGAACATTAAAGTAACATTGTCTTCACTAGGCACTACAGAATAGAAAAACAAGGGTTTAGGGCTCCATGTTCAGTCCTCATGGGGGACAGAGGAGACACGAGACAGACAGTGCAACCAGGTTTTCCCCCAGTAAATTTTTCAAGACCCTGGTTTCCTTCCAGTTTAACTTCTTTTACAAATGCAATAGGGTTTCTGTTGGCGCAGGATAGTTCTTCACTCTTGCTGGTACACTTTGGGATGGAAAGCTTACTGCCAGGGGACAACCCATCTAAGCATAAAACTTAACTGCAGACTAACTCATTTGGAGCTTTCACACTCTTCCATATATGACTCAAATTAAGTGATTTTTAAATTTTATTTTATTTTATTTTATTTTGCTTGTCACAACTGCATGCATTTGAGCATGTCTGAAGTCTTTTATAGACTCAATACTGTTCAGTTACAGAAACCATTCTGACAAGGAAGTAAAACCAGATTTTTCTGCTGAATCATTGTCATTGTCCTTATTTTCATATCCCTTCTCCAAGTGCAACCCCATGTTTGTGCATCCCCTCACCTCTCACCTGGGGTCCTGACAAGTGGTAACCACAAATACACAGCGGGCATTAGCAGTGAACAACCTTCATGCAAACCACCCACACAAAAAGCATTCCTCTTGCTAGAGCCTTAGAGCAAGGACATCAACTTGACCAGGAGGTCACCATGTCCCTGACCTGCCCTGTTGTCCCAAGGCATTACTGGTTTGGAGCTTGCAAAGATCCAACCGTCAGCCAGAATGTGGGAAGAGCTCCAGCTTCATTCTTGGTAGCAGAGCAAAGAAATGAAGCTTTGGGTGACAAAAAAGGGGTGAGAGCTGTGGAGGGAACATGAAAGTGGTGAAAAGGTGCTTGGATTGTTAATGAGAATATTAACTGTCACCATCAAGGCCTGTGGAGTTACAGGTACTTTTCTTTCCCTTGGCTCTGACACAGCTGCTTCATCGTTTCTGCCTGAATTTCCACCACCACAAGGTCTGGGCTAAAGCCCAGTATGGTTTGCCCTTGATTTGCAGTTACAACATAACCCTGTCCTTTGCAGAACGAAGCAGAAGTTGACTTTGATGTCTGGACACATGGGAAAATATTTGAGTTTCATTCCTGGCTCATGCATAACCTCCAAAGTTGAAGGCTAGAGTCAGCATTAAAATCAATGTGCTGTCCTCTGCACAGGTAAGGCTGGGATTTAACTTCTGTAAGGACTGATGTTGTCAGAGCAGTAGTTATTGAAGGAGACAAAAAGCAAAGTAGAGCTTGTAGAGCAAAGTTCTATCTTGCATTGAATCCAGTGGATAAAACAGAGATATTTGAGGACTCATAAGGTCACTGTGGCTGTAGCCTGCATGGGTTTGAGGTTGTTTACAAGCCCTTTCCCCTCTCTCCTGCCCATTCCTTATAGTCTCCTCGGGCCTTTGCAGAGGATGGGATCTAAATCTGGAGGGAGGGTGGCATTTTCCAACAGGCATCAGCCCGTGGGACTCAAGGAGCATGTGAAGGACCATCGAGATCCCAAACAGGCTCAAGCACGAGCCGGTGCTGGGAGCTCACCCCCCAGCAAGGCTCAGGCACCACAGCTCAGACAACCACCCCCTCTTAGGTGAGCAGACCTATTCCTGGCCAGCATGCAGAGTCCAAAATGTCTAGGCCTGTGCAATGGTTTGGGTTGAAGCAGGGAGCTGGTTCAGTGGTGTAGGGGATCCTGGCTCAGGCTGTATGTAGCCACACTTCAGCTCTGTTATGGTTGGTGGGGTGGATCCGGATGCACACACAAAGAGCTTTTTTATCCCCAGAAACTGCACACAAGACACAGGGCTTGAATGCACAATGTCCTGCAGCCCTGGAAAGGCAGGTGACTGTGTGCATTCCTAACTCATGCAGATTCATGAAAAACAGTACTGTAGGTTATGAGTGATGTTCCCTTCTCCTCTCACCAACGTGGTAAATGAGATTGGCAAGACCTCTGCTTTTCTTAAACGTGAACTGGGAAGGAGTCATCACTGTGTCCTTGCTCAGTACTTCCTACCTCTGCTCCCTTTGGGAATTTCATCAGATACAAGAAGGAGACCATAGACAAGACAATTTGAAAGCCCCAAGGAAAGTCTTGCACCTCTGGAGAGGATATTTGGGTTTCTCTGATCTGCCAGGGGTTTACTAGAAGCTTCAATTTAAGGAAAGGAATTTAATAAGACAATAGGATAGACTGTGCTGATCAGGAGCAGGATGTGACCAGACAAGTGTATGGTCCAGCCACCTATTTACACACAACCAGCCCTTTTTAACCCCTTACCCCTCTATTTTCCTCCCCAAATCACCTAAATCCCTCCTTTTCCCCACCTTTGGCTTCTCCCCTAAACATCCCATCACAAGTCCTGTGCAATCCCAAAATGCTTTTCTTCTGCATGCCATAAGATATCCCCCCTCCCTTGACAGCAATCCCCCTTAGTCCAGGTGGTGATCCAAAGAGCTGCTCCCAGTGAGACTCCTTGATGGGTCCCTGGGGCTGATGGCTCTGCTGGGACTACCCTGGGAGGGATCCAAACAAAACACTTCCTCCTTGGAAGTCCTTAATTTGCATTCCCACCTGCCAGTGTGCTCCTTTGAGCTTGTGTGGATGGGCTTTTGGCAGGCTGAGGGTCCCCAGGATGTCAGAGTGCTGTTTGTCTCTCTGTGCCCCTGGGTGGGTGTGCAGATGAGCCTGCAGCACGTCACCCAGCACTGCAATAACCGGAGATGCAGGGCAGTGGCGCACACGAAGGAGGCACGGAGAAAAGCCACAGTAACCACGAAGCCAACGAGATCCTACCAGTGTTGGTGCTGTGTGGGTCTGATAGATCCACTTATCTCATAGATAATGCCAGGAAAAAAAACAAACCAACACAACACAACAATGCAACGAGAACTTCTCAGGTCACAAGCGCAGGCGGTATCTGAACTGAACATCACGAACAGGCTGTGCCGTCCCGATCCCCCAGCGGCTGGTGTCGATCTCTGGGACCTCCTCTTCTCTGTTGACCAGCTCCAGCTCATAATGACTCAGCATCAAGAAGATAAACATTTTAACTTCAGCCGTAGCAAAGAACCGCCCAGGACAGATGGATACTCCTGCCCCCCAGGGCATGTTGAAGTATTTCAGCCTTTTCCCGTTTCTGTAGAAATCCTTCTTGGTGCCGTCTGGGTTGACGAAGCGGTCGTACTTAAACTTGTGAGGCTCAGGGTGAATTTCTGGGTTCATCTGCACAGAGACGTGAGGGAACAGAGCCACCCTGTCTCCTCTGCGGAGAGTGTACTCTGTTCCTCTGCTTGTCTTAAGGCTGATGTCCTGGAGAACAGCTCTGACCAGTATTGGGGCTGCAACCAGCCTCAGGGTCTCTTCCAGGGCACTGTCCAGAAGAGGAGTCTGGTTTAACATCTCCCTTGTGATGTTAATTGGTGGGTTCCCTGGCTTTGCTTCCTGACCACTCTCCCTTAAGACTTTATCTACCTCATCCTTCACAGCCTTCATAGCTTCTGGATGTTTCATTAAGTACAAGAGGAGCCAGAAGGCAGTTGGGCCCGTATTGCCTTGGGATGCCCAGAGCATCATAAACATGAAACGATCCCGCATGTACTCGGGAACACCACTTTCTGCCAGCAGCTGCTCTTGCTCACTTATCCACCCACTGATATTGTCCTTCTGAAGGCTCTTCTTCACGGACAGCAAGCTCCAGAACAGCCTCTTCAGCCGCTCAGCTTCTATTTTCTCCTTGGGAGGCAACATGGCATAGGCCAGGCGAGGGAAGAGGCGGTCGTACTTCCGAAACTCTTGGAACAGTTGGTTGGAGAGGATGCGATCTTGCTCATGAGCTTTCTCCTTGTTTTCTGCCCCTTGGTGTGGCTCAGTGCCATACAGAGCCAGGAACCCAGCTCTGAAGACCATGTTGTAGCAGTAGTAGAAGAGGCTGTCCTCGTGCCACTCTCGTTTCCCCTCTCCTGAGCTCAAATTGAAAAGCATCAGCTTCTGAAAGTTCTCCATGGTGGCCTGTGTCATGACTGTGAGTCCATCTCCCATCAGATGTTTCATGCTCGATGCATGAACTATCCTCTGGCTGGCTTCAGTGGCCTTGTAGCCAAAAACCTGCTGGACCAGTTTAGATGCAAAAGTCTTAAAGTCTAGTTTAGATCGAGATTCCTTCACGATGGCTCCAAAGCAGAAGGGATCCATCACGAAGGTGAAGTAATAGCCTCCAATCAGCACCGTGAAAATATCCCCATGTTTCCCCTGCATCCTTTTAAGAAACTCTGAACTGTCCTTTCTGAAATCCAGTGCATGACCCAGCCAGGGAATAGTTCCTTTGTCCAGAGGTGGCTCATGGGGTCTCCGTCTCCGAAGCGCACCCAGGAGGTAGAGCCCACCAAGCAGCAATGCTACCAAGGTACAGAGGAGAACCACCCAGAGCGCCATGAAAGCCCGTCCTGGACCTTGGACTAGAGCTAGATTGGGGCAAGAACAGGCTTTTTATTCCCATCCAGCAGCTGATATGCAGATGCAGAGCTGACAACCTCTGTCCCCATTGGCAGCGAGTGTTTGTCTTTTCCCCGTGGAGCTCTCCAGCGTGTCCTTCTCCCGTGATGAACACACAGGGATTTTTAAGGTGAAAGGTACCTTGAAATCAAGTTGGAGTTGCCAGGCTGCTGTGTGAGGTGGGCAGGTTTCAGTGTGTGCTCTGCAGCAGCCTAAGCAATTTTCCTTTTCCAGGCAGCATGGAGCCCATTTTTGGAAAAAAAATAAAGAGAGTTCAGAGAATTTCACTCGTGATTTCTGCCTTTAAGACCAGGCTGTGGACACACACTGCAGGCTGAGAAAATGAGAGGAGGACTGGATGCTGGAAATGAGCTCAGGACTGAAGGAACGTGATTATAGGTGAACTAACTTATTTGCAAAAGCTTAGAGAAGGAAAGGTCTCCAACATTTTTATGTTCTCCAACACACAGTGCCCCATCATCTGCATTTGCTTTGCACCAGATGAGTCTAGAGCCTGCAAATGGCCAAGCCCAGCTCCTGGCTGGAGAGCAGCAGTGTTCAGATGGACCACAGCACTATCTTCTGTGCTGAGCTGCACACACCCAGTGTTCAGAGCCTGTGAGTCAGTCGTGTCCCCTCCAGCTGGTAGAGCCATCCCCAACCTTCTGCCCTCCTGCTCCCATCCCTGCATTTGGCAGTTTTACCCATTTTCCCTTCTGCTTCTCCATCCCTCCTGCTCCTCAGTGTCTAAAATGGGGTTTGGGGACAATGCCAGGGACCCAGTGTCCCACCCATTGCTGTGCCTCTGGGTGCAGCCAGTCACCACGGCCTCGGCCCCAACCGCTGGCACCTGGACCTGTAGGACAGAGAGTGACACTGGAAAGTGAGTTTAAAAAAAGTATTTAATAAAGTGACAGGACAGACTTCTGTGAGCAGGCACAGGGTGTGCTGCTTGAATACAACCACCCCCTTTTATCCCCTCCTCTATTTCCCCACCTTTGCCCTTCCCCTGAGCATCCCATCATAAGTTTCACACAGTCCCACGAGCCCTCCTCTGTATGGGATCATGATCTTCACCTTAAATTTTGCTTCCCAGCTGCTCTCCCCTTCCACATTCCCTCCCAGTGACCTGACCCATGGAGTGAAGGCCACTTCCTAGCATCAGTTAAATATTTATTCAGGCATTTATTTATTATTTTTTAAGGAAAGCCTCCAGCCTTTAGCATTTTGGAAATGTGCTGTAGCAATGTTGGCAAAGCAAACTAGTAGCAGTGAAAATAAATCCACTTTTCTAGATCAACTAAAGGTCCTTCTCAATCCAGTAACTTTGTCTAGCAATAAAATTAAGGTAATGGGTGTTTTCTCTTAAACTATAAATTTAATCTTTAGTAGCACTAAATCCACTTTTCTAGATCAACTCAAGGCCCTTCTCAATCCAGTAACCTTGTCTAGCAATAAAATTAAGGTGATGGGTGTTTTCTCTTAAACTATAAATTTAATTTGTACAATTTTAGGCAAGTGTTCAATAGGCTTCCAGGCTGGAAAGGGCTCATTTAAGTGTCAAGAGTATTTGAGGTGAGTAATGCCTTTCTCTAAAGGTGATCAAAATAATAACATTGAACTTTAAAGCTATGCTTTAAGTAATAAGTCAGGATTGTCTAACTGTGCTCTTCTGCTCAAGGCTATGGTCTCACTCCATGGTGTTTTAAAGCCAATATTTATGTTAAAGACAGTATCCATGAATCTTTTTTGTCATGTCAAAATGGATCTTCAGGAAGGCAAATACTTCCACCACTGTTCTACTGATCCCATCACTTTTTCTCACTGGTTGTTACTGGTTTGAACTTGGCTGCTGATTGACCTGATTGATTTACCCTGCGCTGGCAGGGGGGTTGGACTAGATGATCTTTCAGGTCCCTTCCAGCCCCTAAGATTCTGATTCTATGATTCTATGACCTGACCTGCAATCAGCTGATGATCCAACTGATCTCTAACCAAGGATCTGTCCCTTGAAAACATAGTTTTCTGCTCAGCAGATGTGAGTGTGGCACAGCTCATTGTAATGGAGAAACCCATCACTGGTCAGACAATGCAGTTCAAAGGTGCCTAATTCTTCCTGTTGTCTCTCTCAGGGATGAGCCCAGTTGAACAGACCCACCTGGCAGCAAAGCCACCACTTAGGCTGGGCTTCTGGCCACCTGTGTCTGGCCTGATGAATGAGTGTGACAAATCCATTCCCAGTCCACCCCATGAGCTAGAAGGATAATGGGATTCCTCTCCTCCATCCAACCCTTTGGCATCTATGGAGTAGAAGTTCTCCACAAGTTTCAGTTTGCATTTTTAAGGGCACAACATCTAGATAAGCTGCCTATTCATCCACTAGTGCCTCAAAAAGTCCAGACAGGAGCTGAGCTTCTTCCATGAGCATAAAACCAGGGCAACCCTTTGGTGCATCTTCCAGTTACAACAGAAGCAAATCCCACATGTACTTTTCCAATCCCAATGTGGAAAATCCTCCTCTTGATGCTGGTGCTAGGCAGAAAAGTCTGGTTATGCAGTGCTGTGGGCTCACACCAGCTCTCATCTCATGGCCAGGGCCAGTAAAAATGCAGTGCAGAGGCCATACACAGAAGGTAAATACTGTAAACATTGATCATGCATTGGTGATACTCAACATTTCTATCTCGGCTGCATATCTGCTGCAAGACTGGCTTGTCTCTGAGGGCTGGATGTCAAAGAAAGCACTTCTCCTGAAAATGGCCCGAGGGATCTTCCACAGATACAACCTGAATCTTTTTTTCACAAAAGCATAGAGCAAAGGGTTGAGGCAGCAGTGGACAAAGGACAAGCTCTCCGTGATCTGCATGGCATAGTCCAACTGCCTGCTGCTCTCACAGCTCCTGATCATGCCAGCATCTTGGAGGGAGTGAAGAATGAGGACAATGTTGTAAGGGAACCACAGGATAAAGAAGACACTCACCAGAGCAACCACTAAGCAGAGTGCTCTCCTTGACCCAGGCATCTGAGACGTGGTGAGGACACACGCAATGCGGGAATAGCAAAACACCATGAAGAGGAAGGGGAAAAAGAAACCCAGGGTGTTCTGAATGACCCGAAAGACAACTTTCCAGAATAAGTGCTTCTGGCCATAATCATGGGTGCACATGATGGGTTTGTTGTGGATTTGCCTTGTTCTGGCGAAGAGGCCATCAGGAATGGAGAGAAGGATGGAAAGGAGCCATAACATCAACAAGATGAGGATAGACTTCCTCCATGCCACGGAGCTGCGAGGGGAGCACGCGTGAACTATCTGCAGATACATGTCCAGGCTCATGCAGCTCACCAAGAAGATACCACTGTAGAAATTCATGGTGTACATGGTATTTAATACCGGGCACAGGATGTCCCAGGTCACCCACTGAGAAATGTAGAGAGCCCAGAAAGGAAGAGTTAGCAGCAGG